TGAGGAGGGGAAGGAAAAACAAAATGCTTAAATAGGGATACAGGTTGACCCATTTTAACAATGACATGTACAAGACACTTTACAACTTTACAACTTAGGCCGGCGGGGTGGGGTGAGCAGAAGAGTGGGAGGAGTGTAGTTGTGGAGGTGGGAGGGAAAGGATGGTAGGGGAAAAACAAAGGAGGAGGTAACAATGCTTGATAGGAAATGTACTCATTACCTTGCTCATGTAACTGTAACCTCTCTGTACAGTATTTTTGCAATAAAAATGTATTTAAAATAATAAATAAATAAAATTGTTTTCGCTCATAAATTGGATCATGGTATAAGTCATTTAAAATCCTGTCACATTAATAGCTACCTGCAATACTAATTCCACTTTAGAAATCTGTCATACTACTTTCCTAACTTTGGTGTAATAGGTCTCTCTCCACAAATAGCAATGGCAGGCTAGCCCAAAGAGAAGCTATCTGAACATAAATTACGTATGTTGTTTATGATGTGTTTTACCTCTGGCCTCTGCAACCCTGTGACTCTGATTTCATGTGACTGTTGTATCTGGGGAAATGTGCTTTACTTCCAGCGACATTTGTCAAGGTTATTCATGGGCTTCTCAGATTGCCTTAGGTAGAAAATAGTCCAAGGTGCTTTCCACAGGATTTACCATCCAGACACATATACTGCATACTAAAAATTATTTATATTAGCTTTAGCAAATGTTTTTAGTTGAGGGGGAAAAAAGATGTGCCATTGCCCTCAGGAAACCCTAGAAACTAATCACCTTATACTCCATAATATTCCCATCAACAATCAGAAATGGGCACTTTGCCAATTTTATTCGCTCACTGGAGAGTGGCAATTAGCATTAAATCAATATTTCTAGAACTAGTGTATACAGGACCTTCTGACACTTGAAAAATATGACAAATTGTTTTAACTGTGATCATACATACTCCCGGCTACTCAAACACACATTCACCCTGTAACAGGATCTGTCTGCACTTGTGCCAGAAACTAAGTAAACAAATCCACAATTTGGGAAAAGCCATGTGACACAGACAGAAAAACTGTTTTGACATTCCTAAAGTACATGGAGATAGAGACACGGTTACACTAAACACTGCTTAGAGTGAGCGCCTTATAAGGAGTGGGTGCGTGCCACAGGAGAGTTGTAAAACAAGTCACAGAAAGAATGAGCCATGCAGATCCAGGGGCCAGGCTGCCACTCGTGTGACAGACAGCCCACAGCCACTGAAATGGCTTTAAGTGAAAACAGGGTGACTAGTCTTCATGAAGGAACGTTTTGTAACTAAGTTGTACTTAACATAAGTGATAGTTCAGCCCAGATTCACAAATAACATATCCTAGAACTTGGAAGCATCAATAAAGGCTGACAGGCCTTCATGCTGTCTATGAATAGAATGAAACTGCCCCTCCAGCCCAACCATCTCCTCTTGGATACTGTATGCTACCCAGCTTCCCCATTAACCAACATGCTGTCTCAAATATTCTCAAGGAACACAGAGCATTAAAAGCACTCCCAGCAAACCCTGGGCGGCTCACACCTGTAATCCTAGCTATTCAGGAGGCTGAGATCTGAGAACTGAAAGCCAGCCTAGGCAGAAAAGCCCATGAGACTCTTAGCTCCAATTCACCACCAAAAATGCCAGAAGTGGAGCTATACTTCAAATAGCAGAGCACTAGCCTTGAGCAAAAATGCTCATGGATGGATAGTGCCCAAACCCTGAGGTCAAGCCCTAAGACCAGTACAAAGAAGAAAAACAAAGCAAAACAGAACAACAACAACCACAACAACAGAAAAAAAACAAACCAACAACCCATTCCCCACATTCAAGGAGCTAAGCAGCATAGCTCAGGAGAGTAGTCTACAGCTGTGAGCCATGGTGCAGGCAGCAGGTAATACGCTTCTAATAGGACACTTGTTAATATAACATTAATATTCTTTTTTTAATTTTAATTTTAATTTTTTATTGTGAAAATGCTGTACAGAGGGGTTACAGTTACATGAGCAAGGTAATGAGTACGTTTCCTATTGAGTATTGTTGCCTCCTCTGCCACTTCTTATAATAGGGTAGTTTTCTGTGTCTGGCTTTATTTTACAACAGATTTTAAAAACAACAGTAAAGTAGGAATAGCTCTAAGAGTGACAGACCTTGGTGTGACATATGTGTTTTTAAAACTACTTGGAAACATAGGGACACAAATAAAGCATATTTTTGTCTCAGCTCTGAGAGTGAGGTAGATACGCAATGGTGAAGTAGAACAGGGCACTCTTGAGGTCTCAACCTGCACCTATTGTATGCCAAGTCTGGAGCCCTGGTAAAGACATCTTTCTTCACAGGCTGAGGAAACAACTTCTTCTGATTTGCTCCAACATCATGTTGCTAGCTGTACCCTATTCCAATAAATAAAGTACCTCCTTTCTGTTGAACAGTAAAAGTATGAAACCTCAGAGGCTCATATCAAATTAGGACAAGTTAAGATTGGCAAGCTGTAGATTTGTATGAGCTTCATGATAAATAATGTTTGTGTGTTTGAGTTCCTTTTCTGTGAATTGCCTGTTCATATTCTTTTTTTTCCATTTTCATCTACTGTTTTTTTTTCTTTTTTTATTGTGAAAATACTGTACAGAGGGGTTACAATTACATGGGCAAGATAATGAGTACATTTCTTATCAAGCATTGTAGCCTCCTCCCTGTTCATATTCTTTGCCCATGTTTTCCACTAGATTGCTTTTTCTTAATTTATTCACAGAAACTATTTATATATTCTGAATTAAACTGTATCAACTATGCTTTTTGGGCAGTGGCAGTATTAAGGTTTGAACTCATGGCCATGACTTCCCCTCTTTTTGCTTTATTTCTTTAGACAGGGTCTTGTACTTTTTATCTGAATAGGCATGACCATGCCCATCTTTACCACCTAGACTTTCTATGAAGCTGAGATTACAGGAGTGTACTTGTATTCCTTTTTTTTGGGGGGGGGAGGGAGGGTTGGTCGTGGGGATTGAACTCTGAGCTCGGGCGCTGTCCCTGCACTCTACCACTTAAGCAACAGCGCCACTTTACTGAAGTGTCTCACGGACTTTCCTGCCCAAGTTGGCTTTGAACCGAGATCTCAGATCTCAGCCTCCTGAGTAGCTAGGATTACAGGCGTGAGCCACCAGTGCCCAGCTCCTGTCTTGTTTTTTTGAGATAGGGTCTTGCTAACTTCTAACTTCTTTCATCTGGCGTGGCCTTGAACTTTGATTCTCTTATATGATCTCCACAGTAAGCTGGATTACACAGAAAAGAGCAACCATACTGAGAATTTCTTCCAGTCACACATACAGCATACCTCCTCTCCTATTCCATGAAAATGTTAAGCACTACCTGTGTAAGTAGTAACAATCCTTTTAAAAGGAAACACTTTAGCAATAAACAGCAAAGATGTAGATATAAATACCACATGTCCATCTCTAAGCTTCTACTCAAGGAAGCTCATATGCATGAGTACAAAGAGACACTTAAAATGCTGTTATTAAACAGCTATCTGCAACTGCAAAACAAATTTAAGATAGCAATGGCTTCATAATCCAAAAAAACCTTTTCCACCTCATTTCATCCTCACTTCTTCTCTTCTGGGTCATTCATTTACTTGTGTTCACTGCCTTAAGGTAATATTAGTGAGTGCCTTCTCTGACCAGACAGCAGGCTGGACAGGTGGCCATACTTAACTGCCTGCAGCTGTCCTATTAGAACACAGACTCTCACAACCTTTAGGAGATTCTTTCTGACCTTAGTGTGGTCCAGACATGTACAGCCCACCCATGACACTGTAAAGTTCTTGTCAGATCTCCACTGATTGTTATTCAATTACCTAGTAAGAAGTAAGTGGAGACAGTCCCAACATATAAGAAAGGATAATTCCGTTCTTACTAGATCCCATCCAACAATTACCAAGAAAGAAATTTTATTTTCTAAGCTAACATTCAGTGCTGGGATATTTCTCTTGTGACTGACATAATCAGCATGTTCTCCCAACACTAAGTCAAACATACGGAAGCCACTAACATGTAAGAAATATTATCCCACAACCTACATTTAAAAAGTGAACAAAGAAGTGGCGCTGTAGTTCAAGTGGTAAAGCACTCGCCTTGAGCTGAAGAGCTGAGGGACAGCGCCCAGACCCAGAGTTCAAGCCCCATGACCGACAAAAAAAAAAAAGAAATCACTTGTTTATGGGCTGGGAAGGTGGCTCAGTGGTAGAGCGCTTGCCTTGCATGCCTGAGGCCCTGGGTTCGATTCCTCAGCACCACATAAGCAAAAAGAAAAAGCCGGAAGTGGTGCTGTGGTTCAAGTGGTAGAGTGCTAGCCTTGAGCTGAAGAACTGAGGGACAGCACCCAGCCCAGAGTTCAGGCCCCATGACCGGACCTCAAAAAAAAAAAGTGAACAAAGAACAAATTTACTTTTATAGATGCCTTATTATTGAACAAAAATTGTTTGCTGTCTTCAGGGAAAAAAAATTTATATTCATGGTGAGTTACCATGTCTCAATGAACTTCTCCATTATGCAAGGCTATGCAAAGGAAAACCAGGTATTCCTCGAAGCTATTCATGCCAGAATTTCAGTGCTCTGCTCTCTAACTCCATGTTTATGCTCATCCAAGAAGAACCTAAGTTTCTATGTGTCCTTTCTTTCTGTAGCCCAACCTCCAGGTAGGTGGCTTCTAGCTGAATACTATGCTCTTTAGCTACACTCATGAGTTCCCCCCCGCATCCTTCAACACTCTTGCTTCGTCAGGAATCACTTTGTCTTTGCTCCTTTCTGTAGCTAGCTCACATGGCAGCTGGCTTCCCTCCGAGCTAGGAAGAGAGAATGCCCAAATCAGAAGTCTTGCCTCCTTACCAAGAGTAGGTTTCCTATTCCCCAAAGGACCTGTTCAACTAAAATCATCCACTGGACCAATTAAACAACAACAAAAAAATCATCCACTCACCTGTTATGGCTGAGAGAAGCTGAGACTGGAGTAGGCACCACAGTCTGTAACCCTTCCCCTTCTATCTCAGTACCGACTAGACAGATGAGCTGTAGTTCTGGCAATCCCACACAATTTACTTCATGCCAACTTTTACCTAAAACAGAGTCAGAGTGGACAATAACGGTTGTTAAAAGCAAACAAAAATTGCAAGCTCTACCCAAATTTGGTTGAGCAAATATCACTCATAAATATTATCTTCTCTCTTTACTTTTCTAGCTTTTTCTGCTACATAGTTATTCCCAATATAAAGGAATGAAGAATGTGAAATTAATTGGCAAAACTCATAACAAATGCAAAAATGACTGCTTATTATATGTCGACAATGCTATATTCCATCCCAGTTCCCAAGTCCCCAGCATGGCCTCAAAAATCAAATAATATAAACAAAGAACTTACTCTCCATGAGATCCAGGTAAACCAAGAATGCAATGTATACTTGAGTGGCATCTCCTATGTCTAATTCCATCATTTCTAAGTACTGAAAATAAAAATGTAATTGTCAAATAGGGAAGGAAGAACCTTTCGATACTTTTCAATGACGTATTCGCTGAATACACACATATATTATCATTGTGATAATAAAAATATCTTCCTGATTTAGTGGAAGTTACAAGGCAATATAAGATCCAATCGTTGTAAAGAATCTATAATTGTTAAAACACATGCATAGTCTTCCCTCCAGTATCCACTGAATGGCTCTAGCCTCCCCCCACCCTCACCACCACTACTAATACCAGAACTCAAGAATGTTCATCTCTGTAGTATTTGTATAACATATTCCTGTAAACTTCAGACCTTCTCTAGGTTCCATATAATGCCAATACAATGCAAATACTATGTTAATAGTTGTTGTATTATTTAAGGAAAAAATCCTGTATACTTTCATTACAAATGCAACATTGTTTTCAAATCATTTCAGTCTAAAAATGGTTGAATCTGAGGATACCCAAGGACCTTATATCTGTACTTAATGTGTTTGAGAAATAATTGTATATGATTAGCACATGTGAATGGGGAGAAAAACATGTCCACAGGTCAAAGGTCATGCTACTGGGGGGGGGGCTGGATATTGAATGTTTCATGTCCCGCAGGACATGTGTGGTTTGAGTACACAGAAGTAGAGCACTTTCACACGAAGGTGGAAATAAGGCACACATATTCAAGAGCCTGTAAAGAAATCCATCCACAGAAAAGGCACAAATTTTAATCGTGTTTTTGCTGGGACATGTTAGTAGGGAGCTTCTAGTTCCCTAGCTTCTTAGTTGCATGTAGAGAGGCTGCCAAAATACCATTCCTAGTGTCGCTCACTCGTGAGCATAGGCAATTTTGTCCTTGTTGAATTTTAAAGATGTATCAGTGACCAGATGGATATAAAGGGTTAATTGGATGAACTATGACATCTAAGTGGCAGCTGTGATGTCATCTTTCCCCATCAGCTTCATGGTAAAGGAACCACTGCCTGAGAGCCATGCTGAGTTGACTACTCCAGTCAGAAAATGTGTTTGAAAAATAATGTTACTGTCCCAGGTTGCAAGGTTTTGTGTGCAAACAAAGTGTAAATTACAGACCATTAACTTGTGTATAAGGATGATAAATCGAATGTCATTGTACTAGATTTACTTATATTTTACTGAGTAATTTTCACATTGACAAAAGTGCAGAACTGAGAACTCATCCATTTTTTTATTTTTTTAAGTTAATTGGATTTTTTTGAGGCTCGAATTAGAGCCTCAGCTCTGTCTCTGTCCTTTTTTGCTCAAGGCTAGAGCTCTACCACTTGAGCCACAGCTCCAATTTATAGCTTTTGGATGATTAATAATAGGTGGTAGAGTCACAACGACTTTCCTGAAATGATGGCTTTGAACCCAAACCTGAATAGCTAGAATTAAAGGTGTGAGCCACCAGCCCTCAGCTGGTATTTTCTTTTTAAGGCACTAAACATTTCCATACTACCGTTTCTTTTTTAGAGGTCTGAAAGAAAGTAGGGAGACAAAAAAAAAAAAAAATCAAGCAAATGAAGCTGAAAAACAAATTCACTATGGACTTCATTTTTTTCAAGTTTTGGTTCTTTTTGCTGGACTTATAGATTATTATTCTATGACGGGGGTGGGGAGCGAGTGCAGTTTTATCAACGCACTGGTCCAGTCTGGAAGATTCTTTACAGATCCCATCACCTCTACAACTCAGCACCAACTCACTGCCGGTGGCCATTTCCCAAGCAGCAGCAGTGTCGGGGCTATCTGCCTGCTACTGGGGAAAACACACTCCGCCATGGGCAGGAACCCACTGCACCGGCGCGGGACGAGGCGCACACCGAGCCCGGGCTGAAGCTTGGCTCCTCCCGGACTCGGAGGCCCGGCCCACGACCACACACCGCCGCGGCTTTGCTCTGTCTGGGTAACAGAACCGGAGCCGGCGGGGCGCTTTGGTTTGGGGTGTGTGGGTGAAGAGAGGAGTTCGGTGTTAAGCGCCTCCCGGCGGAGGTCGGTGCGCACCGCCGCGCGTCCGCGGGGCGCAGGGGGACCGCGGCCCGCGAGTTCCGCCTGAGA